GCCGTTTGATTTACACTACTGCATAGATTTAGTTTTAGTGTTTGGCCTGAGAGTACCTCTCTGGAATTATCAGTCTTTGTTTTCAGATGTTCTAATGACATTTAATTCCAGAGTTTTGAACCCACTAATTTAGGTTTTCCAAATTGAAGTGCCACGGTACAATATAATTTTACTGGTTGGTAGTTGATGTTCTCACTCTTCAGCTTTTTACCCTTTGGAAACTGTTGAAATGCTTTTTTAAAAGAGAATTGATTATAACTTTGGTAAATGAATATGATTACCAAGACTGACTGTAATTGGATTTTTACTTAAGAGGAACTGTATTTATGTTATCTTTCCTTACTGGATGCAGTGCTATGCCTGTAATATTTCTTTCTCATTACACTCCTTTGTTAGGAACATCTGTAGTGCTCTTAAGTCAGGCATGTGCTTAACTGAGAGCACTTGAGTTCCCCCAGTTTGATGCTGACCTGCTTCTCTGGTGATGTGATGTCACCTAAGGATACATTCAGTGCCTCTGCAATTTGACAGCGTGCAAACATTTGATTTCACCATGTAAAAGTTTACAGAAGAAGTGTCTGCTATTTACATTTAATTTAAGATAGATGTAGTTAAAGAATATAGCTTCCATATGCTTCTGCATGCCATATGCTAAGATGATGGCATGCAAACATACTCTCGTGGGTGTAAATATAAAACCAGAAGACAGTTGTACTGAATATACCATTGGCAGTCCTTGTTCAGTATCCCAGCAGAGCCCCATAGCAGCTGAAGGGGAAATTTCCTCCCCAAACCGTCCATTTAACACTCGATTTCTGCCTTGAAGCAAAGCAGTTGCATCTGCAGCTATTTTCATTGCTCGTATTAAACCCCAACTTTTGTTGACACCTTAATGTCTCTTAAGTCATTCCATCCGTGCCCTGAAAAAGATACATTTTTTCTTTAGGATTTTAGACCTGGTTATGTTTCAGTTTAATTCACGATCTTGTTTTTATCATTACGAGAGAAGATGTACTTTTTGGGGGGGCAGCCATTGTTTTATATCAGTGCATTGAATTGTCATCCTGGAGCTTGGCCCCAAGTGTTTGATTGCAGTTTGGTGGCGTTGCCTGGTGGTAATAAAAAATAATAGCAGGGGTTCAAAAGGAAATCCTGCATTTCCCCTCTGCGTGGGAATCAATATTATAATTCGAAACCCTTTATCTGGCAATGTCCTGTTATTTGCTATTTCTCTTTGTGTTTGTGTCCATTTTAAATGCTGCAGAGATGGTAGAAATCATACATTATGTCTAGGAGGGATTTATTGTTTCTTTTTGTGATTTTTTTTTTTTTTCCTCAGTGCATAGGGCTGCAAATGGACTGCATTTGCCCTCCGGTGGTATCCCACGTGAAAAAAAAAGAGATGTTGACATAGCAGAAATGGCTTTGCGGTATGAGTTTATTTAAAACCATTGTGACAGAACTGAGGATTACAGACAAATATTTTTTATGCAACATAAACCACACATGAGCCAAACCAATCAGTAGTTTGAAACCACCGAGGATAAATAATTTCACTAACTTTCCTGAAAGTGCACTGAAAACAAGTTTGTCTCATTCTGTTTCTACAAGTATTTGAAAATATTTTTCTCTTATAAGTTAAAGGTAACTTAACTGGGAAATAAGTCTGCAGCAGGCAGAAACGGGGTGACGAGCTCCTGTCCAAACCACAGGAGTGGATCTGGCAGCTCTGCTGCTTCCTGCCTGGCCCTTCTCAACCCAGCGAAATGCCCTAATGGAGGTTTGGTTTATTATTCAATTCATTTTAGCAGTTCATGCTGCTCACCTCAAACCTAGCGTAAGCATGGAGCAGAGATCTGCCGTTTCTTATGACTGACGTGCTGTAAAGATCAGGCGCGTTAAGCTCAGGCTTTTGAAGATAATTGATCTCAAGCTGAACAAGTCCTGCACTGACATCATCTTGGAAGATGCTTGCAGACTCTGGAGTGGCAGTGAATGGCCTCCTAATGTGACTGAAATGGATCGTACGGCTTAGGTCCACCCGAGGAGGGGTGGGGTTTGGTGTGTAGGGGTACCAGCTGTGCCTGGCCGGCATTTTATTTTGTGTGTGTGCAACAAGAAATGCCCGCTCTGCCGGCAAAGCAACACAGCTGCCAGTTGGGTCACCAGAAAGGTTTTCTCCTGGGCCCTCCAGCTCAGTGATAACACCGTTGGCATTGATAAGTGCAGAAGTCCAGGAGAAGGGGAAGCAAGCAGAATGTTTGCTCTTTAGGCAGTATTTTAGGCATCAAAAGAAGCCTTTTGGGTTCCTTGCTCTTTGGCCGCTGCCTTCTCTCCTTGCTGACACTGCGGCTTTGTTGCTCGGTCAGGAATGACCTGATTGAGTTACCAGGATCTGCACTTATTCCTAAAGTAGAGAAGAGAAGCAATTCTGTGTTTTTAACCACCTGCCTGTCCCTAGTCACCTTGTAGGAGATCCTCCTCCTCTCCACCTTTAGGTCTTATGTCTCTTACTAGACTGTCCATTATATTTTCTTCTTTTCAAGTCTCTGCGCTTACACATGTATAATCCACTATATTATTTGTTGTTTTAGTTTGACTTTTCTCTACCCATTTTTACTATTGCCGCTAATTTCTTTAAGCTCCATGATCTCTGTCAAATACTTGCCCTGATCTCGTATGTCCTTATGTACCCATTACTTCTAGCATCTAAATAGCCTCAGTGAGCTCAGTGAATTATTTGTGTGCTTAAAATTAAAGACATTTGTGCAGAAGTTCGGGCCATTAGATATTAACTTGTTGCAGCGTGGAGCATCTGATTTAACACTGATATTTAGAAGGTCCGTCACTTGTGTTGCCATTAATAAATGTCAGGAGTGAATTGTGGTCTTCTGTCAAATGTTAGTAAACATTGCAACGTGCTGGTTTATTATGCAGTTGCAAATATTGCTTCTTGGGGCTGGCAGCGTAGGATATTGTTCACTTCCCTGCAGATGCTACCGGTTATAGCGATGCTGAGAAGCTGGTTTGCATACCCTTGGCCATGCTTCACGTGGACATGTTTGTGTTGCCAAATCTTTGGTGTCCTTGCTGAAGGTAATGAGGCTACACAGAGCATCAGAGTCTATTACTTGTTTAACCTCCTGAAGAGGGCAATTACACCGCTTCCCTGTACAGAGCGGTGACCTCTGTCCTCGCGCTCTTGTAATTGAGAAGGGGAATGTCTCAGAGTTTCTGACTGCCAGAGTTGAGAGATAGGAAGGGTCACAAGGATTGAAAGTGAAAGGCAAGGATCAGCAATTTAGAGGTAGTTATTAATATGCTGATTTACTGTCACTTGAGTCTAAAGAGACTTTTAACAATTGCTTGCCTTTTGCATGCTCTTCAAAATCCTGATTTTTTCCTTAGAAATCTAATTACATTTTAATAAGATTTTTTTTTTTTGTTTCCAGGTGGTTGCCAACCCATCCCTTGCTCCCATATAGCACTGTAGTTGAAAATCAAAAATCATGTGTATTTATTGCAAAGTTACACCCCAGTAAATCCTTTAACTGTAAGAAAACAGAGAGTTATTTTTCCCTTTTTCTTCATGCACTCTTAGTTACACTAAGTGCTGGCGACAAGGAAAAATATATGCAGCTGCAAAAACCTGAATTATTTAGGTATCTCCATAAAATAATATCACAGGTTGTTGAAGTTAAATAATAAAATCTGGATTAAATAATTTCATCTTCTGTAGCTTTATGATACACTGCGTGGACTTGCCTGAAATCAGAGAGCCTGACATGACTAAACTCCTGGGGCCAAATTCAATTCCTGACTCTGTCCTTGACTTTCTTACTTTAATGAAGCCACGACCTATCTTTGCTTTGGTTAACCTACTATGTAGGATATAAATAGCCTATAATCTTGGAGATTTTGTGAGAATTAATTATTATTAATGAAATGAAAGACTCCACAATGTGCAGGCTATTTTTATTTATTATAATTACTTATTATTAATTCACTGAAACTTTAGCGAGTTTTATTATAGGCTCCCTGTGACTCAGATTCGTACATTAATACTTTTGTCCTCTACCATGGCCATACAGTGCCATTATCCACCCTGGAAATTTAATCACTATGGTGCAAAAAAAGGACAGGGGTGTTGAAGGAAAATCCTAAAATAGAACTGGGGGGAAATCAGTGCGTCTAAGCCCTGGGCTGTGCTCTTGCAAACCCCGTTTGACTCTTGCCTGGCCCCAATGAGCCCTATGTCCAAATTCAGAGAGCTCAGCCCCAGCCCGGCTCTGTGCCTGCTGTTTCCTATTGCCACAGCCCAGTCTTAGAGACCTGCCAAAGTGCTGGGCAGGGCACCGGAGAAGTTCATTGTGTTTGCGCGTGGGCTGCAGCCTCGCCAGTGCTGCGTGTGCAGGTAAAGCTCGGTATGTGCGCAGGGGCTCTGCCGCTGCCTGCGTGCAAAAGCACTTCAGGTGGGATGGAACTTGGCAGAGAGACACTGTCCTCGCCCGAGACATATAGAGCAGTTGTATTTTGTGGGGTTTTTTTCCTGCTAATGGATCCATTCAGTAGTGCTTTTTTTTTTTTTTTCTGCTTTAAAGCGGTTTCAGTTCCATGCATGTGCATCACAGCTTGGGAATCCTGACTTTGACCAAATCTGTTTTATGGCACATAGCCACATTATTATATCCTTTCTTGTTTGGACGTAGAATGTATCATTGGTTAAGTTGTTGTCCCAACCTTTAAAATGACTGTCTCCTTGAGAATATTAAATTTATGTCATCATTTCAATAACACACTGCTCAGAGAAGAATGTCTTCATGGTTTTGTGAAGCTTCCAGCCCATCTTTGAGTGATGCGTGAATAATGGCCTAAAAATAAATCAGCTTTATCCTGTTAACCTGGGAGAGTGAATCTCACATGGAACACAAGTACTGACTGCATAGAGTGTAGTACAATATATATCAGAATATAGAGATTTCTGTACCTTTATTTTTCAGCTGTTACGTGCCTGTCGGAGCACAACGACTCTGCCGATGTCGGTGACTGCATGCAGTGGGCAGGAGCTATGCCGCCTCTTGTACAGGAGTGTCTTGTTCCCTGCAGAGATGACTGCACGTTTACCCCCTGGTCTAAATTTACAGCATGCTCCTTTGACTGTGAATCAACCAGAAGCAGGAGACGGTCACTCACAGGTACAATCTTTTATAGTACTGCTCTGATGGTGACGCTTGTGAATAACACTTCTCAGATGTTGGTGGACTGATGTTGAGGTTTTGGGAAAATCCAGACAGAGTAGCGGTTGTCTTTAATTGATCTGATACTGATCATTGCCTGCTTTATGTGCAAACATTTTGGTATAAGAATAGTGCAGAAAAATGTGGTGGTGGAAAACCATTTTTAGACATAAACCAAATAAACCAGTGACTATGCATTGTGCAAGTTTATCTGACCTGTTACGCTGGGAAGCATGCAGCAAGTGTGTACATGAGAATAAAAATCAGTGTGATTTTCTGTTTAAGACTGTTGAAATCTGTATGAAGTTTAAAACTGGGAGTTTTGTGCTCAGCACCATCCAGTAGTTCAACTGGGCAAATTAATACCATGAATAAAGTAAAAACAGTGTCATTAAACAGTTTTGGTTGATCTTTTCTATGTCTTCTTTAAACACTCTAGTTCAAACCATTTCATGGAGCAGTCTCCCATACTTGTGGTCATGGTTTGTTATTATATTATTTGAATGCTTACGAAACTGAAAAGCTTTAAAACTCTGTAACACTAATAGTTTGGAACTGCTTGTTTTGTAAGGAATTGTCTTCCCCCCCATATGAACAGCTAAATTAAATCAAAATGAATTATTCTGTTTTCAGAGGGTTTACAAGAAATTTACTGTTATTGTTATCCTGAACTCTCACATCTTTTCATATTTCTGTGTTGTGTTTGAGAGCTGTGGTGTAGCTGGCTTGAGTTTGCTCTGTTAATAGAGGTGAAGCTCCAAAGACTTCTACTATGGAGTAAAATACGAACATTGCTGTAAAAATATCTGCTGCGATAATGCTTGGGAACGGAATGGCAACAAAGTATGGTGGCTACCACTGCTCCTTTCTTCTAGACTCACTTGTACCTGGCTGCATGGCTGTCTTGTTATTCAGTTTGTTACTGCTGGAATGATGCAAGTTTCTAGTAACCAACAATTACAGTGTACAGACATAATGGCTTCAAGCTGGCATTCGTCAATATGGCTCATTAAATGATAAAGAGTTCTCTTTTACATAAAAATCATTATTATACAATGCTCTATTGTTTCTGCCAAAGAGCATATTCTAAAATGTTCTCTATATCAATGCCTGTGTGTTTACAGTAGTAAGAATAATAGGTGCTTGATCTTATAAAAAATATGAAAGAATTAAGTGAATACTTACTTCCAGGTAGTTTTAAATCCAGATTTTCTTTATGAACATCTGTGCAAGTCATAAAACGGTATGGTCTTACCTATCCTTTTTCTTACTCTGCTCTACATCAGACATAGATCCTTTCAAGTACATGGACCAAAAATGGTTTCTGATATTCAGGTTTTGATGGCTTGTCTCCTCTCTTGTGACCAAACACCACCAGTCTCTCCCATACGACCTTGCTGAGTTCCTTTCCTCCTGCCGGGAAGGAGTTTGTAGTGTCAGCCTGCTCCCAGCAAAGGTGTCCTGAAAAGCAAGCGGTGAACATGCAGCGGGTGTCCCAGGTGGTGCTGAGGTGGGGACAGCCCAGCACCCAAGAGAGCAGCGGGGAAGGACCAAATCAGACATAGGTTTGGGTTTGACCGCAGTTCAAAAGGAGAGGTTGATGAGATTAGTGGTGACCTGTCTTTGCATAAAACTTCATGAGAATTGGAGCTGGCCAAAAGTCTCAAAAAAAATCTCATCCGTGTGAACTCAGTCCAAAGATAAAGCGCTGTTTGGGAAGTACTTCATGGTGTTAAGACCCCTTCATCCATTTGTGTTTCACCTTTCTCTAAGTGTGCATGAGCTGCACCTCCTTGTTCTGCACCGTGTATTTCTATGCTCAAGTGAATGCTTCGGCTTCATTGTAAGAGTTCATTAACAGTGTCATTTAGAGGGAATCTGCTAATTGTTTGCGAAGTATTTGCTTGCCTCCCACTCAGTTTTTAATAGTATTGTTCATTTTACTTTGTAAGTAATCATAGGCTCTACATATAAAACCAGTCATTACTTAAGTGAAAGACATATTACAGAACATATCAAAATTAAAAGTCATTATAATGAAAACACAGTTTTTAGGTAAGTCTTCAGTTAACTGATAGAGTTAATTCACTGTACTATGGATACAATGTATTTTCTGTAGGAAGGTGTATTTTTTAATGTTTCATATGGTTTGTATGTACAGTATGTGGTATCTGCTAATATTTGATGTATATAATATTAGCATTTAAAAAAGAAAATACTATTTAATTGAAGGTCTTACATCCCTGAAAATTTTGGAGCTGGTATTTTTAATAGTAATTTTTAAGGCAGTCTGTGAAGGTGGTAAAAATATCACCATCATTAATTCTAAAACTACTTCTTTGTGAAGAGTGTGGGATGAATGTTACTTTTGCCCTCAAAACAGGGCTTTCATAGCAACTTCATTAGAGAGAAGATTCCTGCAAAACAGATGGCAGGGCAAGTTGGGAAAAAAGTGCCGTATAAGTGTGAGATTATTAGCATCCTTACCTGTGGCTTATGTGCTTCATATACTAATGGCAAAACATCAGCAAGTCCCAAATTCCCATGTTTACTAGTACAATGCAGAACACATAGCTCTATGTATACACTGAGTTTGTGGCTTCTGTCGGCTCATCAAACATAAAATGCTGGAAATGCCACTAGAGAGCTCCTGGTCTATTTAAAGCCTTTTAAAAGAGTTTCCTTGAAGTATGTGGAGTTGTACCTCTTACACCTTACCTGAATTTGCTCACAAATATGTATATATA